TCTATGCGTAGCCACTTAATGCGTAGCCGGCTAATTCTAACAAAAACGCGCTAGCCCGCGGGCCCCCCCAGCACAGCATGCGCCCGAGCAAGCAGCTAGCCGCGGTGCCGCGCGTAGCCCGCGCCCCGCCCGGGAGCACAGGCAAAAGTTGCGGCCCAAGCAAGCAGGGCTAGGCGCCCGGCTGCTTAGCCGGGCGGCCCCCCCAGCACAGCGTTTCGCCCGAGAACAAGAGGCTTAGCCGTGCCCGGCGGCGTAGCCCGCGCCCCGCCCAGCACAGGCATTTGCGCCCGAGCAAGCAGGCTACCGGCCGGCGGGGCTAGGGCCCGCGCGGCCCCCCCAGCAACAGGGGCATTTGCGCCCCAGGCAAGCAAGGGCTTAGCCGGCCGGCGGCTAGAAGCCCGCGGGCCGCCCCGAGCAGGGCAGGGCATTGCGGCCCAGCAAGCAGGGCTAGCGCGACCGTCGGGCTTAGCCCGCGCTACAGTGTCCCCCCTCAGGCAGCAGGTCAGTTTCGATCTACAGCAATAGCGAGGCGCGTTAGCATCCGCGTTAACAGACTTTCCTCGATGCACAGACGTGCTCGGCACCGCGTACGCAGTCGCCATCCCGAGCACGAGGCATTGCGGCCCCAGCATAGCGGGCTAGACCGCGCCGCGCTGCCCTGGGCGCCACCCCCAGCAAACCATGTGCCCCAGGCAAGCAAGGCTGAGCGCCGGGCGGCTAGGCCCGCGTCCCCGGGCCCAGCAGACAGCCATTGCGCCCCTAGCTGGCTAGCTTGGTTAGCAAGGTGCATCTTCACCTGAACTGTGATATCAACAGGGATGCTAACGGCTAGCAAAGAAACAGGCTGAAACCAAAATGTACTTGTCATGGGGAAACCACATGCCGTAAAGTGAGGCACACGTGCTCACACACAGAGCAGGTCTCTCTCCTCCATCCTGCTGTGTGGTTGGATATTTTATCTAACATTGTATTAAAGTATAGTACTTGCTAACGTTGACATGCACCACAAAGTGTGTTTCACCTGTCCTCTGTGTCGCACCTGTCTCCTCCTCTGCCACAGACCAGGAGCTGGCAAACCTGAGGTGGAGCAGTCCAATGTGTTAAGTAGAGGGGTTCCCAGAGGAGGAGACCAAGTGCGGCAGAGAGGGAGGGGTGTTTTGTGTCAGTCAAGGGTCAAGGGTAACATATTTTAAATGGACTTAAATTAATTTATCATTGATAATGTGTTGTATTTGAATATTGCTGTCCATGTGAACTGTTGAAGAAGACAATTTTTGTTTGTTTGTTTTTTCTTCATTTTTGTCCAGCCATTCTTCCTTTTCCCTGTAAGTATCTGCACGGGACTCCACTGCTATAAATAAAATTCACTGGGACTGCTGAGTCCTGTTTCATGTGTCTGGCTGCTCGGCCGATCCTCACAGTACTAACCGGGAAAAACTGAACCGCCGACTCCTCTGAGTGTCTTTGAGAACAACTGAACGCAGAACAAGACATTTACAGACACGTTGGAGCTAACTTTGATGAACTGAAAACACAATGACAAGTCAAATGTCCGACACATCGCTCTGACGTCATATCCGGATTAACAGGCAGGTCCCTCTGCGTGTCAATGACGTGATAGCCACGCCCTAAAGCCACTCTGCTTTAACGTCAATTTTCTTTTAAATAGGACCATAATTTGAAAAATGAACATCATGTTGTATTGAAGGAAACTTCGAACTAGAGATTCAGACCATAAACACATAAATAACGTTTACTGAGGTAACAAGTCAAGTGACAATAGTGTCATTTCCCATAGACCAGTGGAGTCGTCCCCTGATGGTCATAGATGCAAGTTTAAGGCACTTCCGCATTGGCTTCATTTTCCAGACCCAGAGTCAACGTCCATTTTTATATACAGTCCATGTTTACAACCTGTGTCCAACTCAGTTCTCAAGTTCTCTTAAAAATAAAAATTCCTGTTTCTGTTTTTCTGAATTAACGAGATAATTATCAAATCATCTCGTTAATTCAGAAGAACAATGCAAAGTGAATGCATTACACTTCTGTAGTTATGTACTATAAAATATTAAAAACAGAATAATTTCCATGAAAACAACTTTTCATATTTAACTATAAAACAAACCCGAAAACCAAAGTTTGAGTCCAAGTCTGCAGTTTGGCTGAAGATCAACCAGAGGCTGAGAGTGGGGCAGATATAGTCAGAAAAGTGTTGTATAAATAAAGTTTATTATATTATAATGATTTTATGGCGGTTAAATAATTGGCCTAAAAATGGAAAACATTCAAATATTTCTTGCTCGACTCAAACAGGAGTAAGAGACAAGGCGACTACAGATGATGCAGAGCCGTTTCCGTCCGTTTGACTTTGCGTCTCTTCCTGGTTTGATGTCATTTTATGTTTCTCTGGTGATTGTGATTGTGAGTCTTTTGAGGCTCTGGCTCAGGGACCCCGTTGGCCCCTGGACCTGTAGGGGCCAGGAATCCTTCCACGCTCCAGCTGCAAAACTTTTACGTCACTGTTTTTATTCAGTTTCACTGTTTCTGTTACTCTTCATCTTTGCAGGGCAGTAAACTATATTATTAATATTATATTTTTAATAACATCTTTTCTTCCTTCACCAGTCATTAAACGGAAGTTTGTGTTTTGCTTCCATCTGGTGGTGTCACTGCTCTGCTACAGTTTTCTCTCTGTGATGGATTGAAGCAGCTTCAACTCACATTTCTCTTAAAATATATGAATATCAATCTGACATGATAGCATTTATTAGCGTACATTTGCCTTTGCAACATGTTTTATTTCACACATGCTAACACTGTTACCTGAGTTAACCTCTACATATTCCAGAAAGAGGCTCAAAATAACAGGCAGTCTTATTATTGGCACTCTAAAGTTAGCATGATATACTTTGGCATGCTAAAACATTAACCACAGCACATTTTGTCATGTTAGAAAACACTAAAATACTACATGAGTAACGTATTAGCATCCAATAAATGTAAACAGTTGGGTCGTAGAGAAGCTCATTACTGCCAGGAAAATAAAACAACCTATTAAATATTAGTAATGAGTGAAAAATAATAATTTATAATATTTAATATATCATCTCCTAATTCTGATTTAGAATGAGTATTTTTATCATTTGTTCAAAATTTTACTTTTATTTTGGCCTTTAAAGACAGTGAACAGCGCTTCTGTAGCTTCTTTAAATGTCCATTATACAGTATCTGCACAATAATAAAAGAAAACATTTAAAAATAAACAAAAGACAGACACCAATCTGTGTTGTAGGAGTTTGGTTTAATATTGTATTGAAAAATAAATTAACGAAAATAACTTTAAAATGCAACGAAAGACAAAAAAAAAAAAGAAAAAGAAGAAAAGAAAAAGAAAAATCAGATTATAAACATTCTTTGCCAGCAGGGGGTGGAACTGCAGTGCTCATGTAAGATTAAATTTACAAATATATTTATAAAAGAGGAATTTATTAGACATATCCACAAATCACGAAAGCATTCCTTTACATCCAGTGAGCTGAATCTGGTCTACCACCCAACCGTTGTTCTTGCAGCTACAAAAAGGTCTAGAAAATTTATATTTATATATGTATATATTTCATACACATGCCGTATGTGTGAATGAGGCTGTAAAAAACTAACTGTACAAAAACAAAAAAAGCACACAGTGGTGATGTGGATGGAATGATGATTAAATAAAAAGAAAAACATGATTCAGTAAAAACAAACACGATGACCCCGACCTCCGAGGAATGAAACCTTTCATTCATCCGATTCACGGATTTTGGCTTTAATAGAAAAAAAAGAAAAAAAAGAAAAGAAATGGAAACACCGTCTTGACGTAGTGTTCGGATTAACGGAAGCTGAAATGAGTGAAAACGAGCGTCGACTCGATCTTTAATGTGTTTTTTTTTACTAAACGGCTTCTTGGTGCTTTAAAAACAGGAGGAGGTGGTTCAGTCCTTCAGATTTGTCAAGATGAAGAGGAGGAATGACGGAGGGAACGACACTCAGGTTAAAACAATTAAACATTATCTACAGGTGAAAAATTAAAAAGCTTTTACTCTGGAACACTGGCAGTCGGATCAAGAGGACTGACATCTTTTACACCAACTACCAGTTTAAATATGGAAATGCTGAGTCGCCAAAACCATCTCCATGACAACTAAAGGCTGAAGAACTAGTTCAACATTTGGTAAATTGGCGTATTTACTTTCTTTTTTGGATGAATATCATTTTCATGTTTGTTTGGAGTCGGAGCTGCGGCGGAAGGATGAACCTCTGCTCGTCAAGAAATAGTTCCTAACTCCAGACACGAGGCTGATATCCGTCCGAACGTCCCGCTCTCAGAAATGCGGTGCGGTTCCCGAGATGTCGAGCCTTTTCAAAAGTAAACGGAAAATAAAAAAAACAAAAAACAAAAGGAGGTAAATACTGAACGTCACGATCATTCTGAGGCTGATAATCTCAAAGTAAGAAAATCTTCAAGTTGTGATCTCATGATAAAGTGGTCAATAATAAAAGTACTGATGACAGACGAGAGCCTCCTGTTGGTCAGCACAACATCTGTCTGCAGGTTAGTCCAACATCTGTCTGCAGGTTAGTCACTCAGCTGGTTTCAGGGAAATTCAGCTTTTTTACTTTCAGTTCTTTTCTTCCCCAGAGTCAGAAACTCATGAAGGTTCAGTGTGTAGTGTTCAACATGTTGTGTAATTACTGTCGGACAATCTGACGGTGGTGACAGATGGACTCAGTCAGCCTCATCTGAAACCAAAGACAGTCAGCTTTCTTTTTTTATTGTTAAAGATGCAAAGTGAAAATATCGTTCGTACACGTTTTAATTATTTTGTTTTTAATTAGTTTAAATAATATTTTGGCAAATGTTTCCTGTTGACACTGATTTCATATTTAAAACCGGAGCCACTTCCTGTTTACAGCAGTGCAATAAAACTATTTTAAAACCACAAGGTGTGAGAAATGAATGATGCTAAGCTAGCAGTTAGCCTGTGATTGGGTCACAGACTTCCCTTCACAATCCTGAGGAAGAAAGAGTCAAAATGTTATTTTTGCCTGTTTTCCAGCAGCATCAGTGTTTTTATCACCTCAGACGTTAGAGCTGAAACCATCAGTCCATTAATCAATTAGACAGACTGTTGGTGTAAATGTGATGTGTGTCGTGTTAATGTTTATCATTCGGTGCTCACAGTCGACATCGATGAGATTTTAAAAACACATTTTAAAAAGACAAGAAGCTGCTGGATAAAAGGTCAAATAACGTTTGCATAGTGAACGTCCAACTCTGATCCATCGTCTCCGTTTTCATCTGTTTTTCCACTGACGTTTATTTGTTTGTGGTGAATATTTTAAAATGGAAGATCCACTTATGTAGATTTTCCCTGAGTTTTCCACACGACTGACGTCCTGGACTTAAGGTCACATGATTACAGCAAGTGTCACGTCACTGTCGAAAGCTCCGGGAACAGATAAGTGAATATTTATCAGATTTGTGGTTGAGAATTAAGTATTAATTTGTTCCTCCTCCTGACGGATTTGTGGTCGTTTCAGTAGTTTGAGGATTCACGCTTCAGGTGTTTGTCTACGTTTACGTGGAGCAGCTACTGTCTCCGACGCTTCACTTCACCTTCAGACGGCACAGAGTCTCTGATTCTGGGTAAGAAAAACTGTCCTGAAACCGTCCGTCAGCTGCAGTTTCCCGCCTGTTTGTCGGTCCGCTCAGCGTGAGAGCCTCTAAGAGTAAAGCTGTAAACTTTGGTTGTGACTCCTCCTCGTGACGCCGCCCAGCGACGGACACGGACCTGACCGAGACGACGGGAGGGAGGGGGAGGAGGGGAGAGAAAGAGGAGAGCGGGGAGGAGGGTCTGTGGTCATGCTCTTCATTCATACATTCACATAAATGGGAATCACTAATGTCGAGTCGTCGTGCGACAGGTGAACACACACCTGGGATGACACTCGGTGATAGAGTAACGGCCCCTCCCACCAATAAATACCATAACCCCGCCCACTGACAAATAATAAAATACATCAAACTTCTTGATCCGGTTCTACAGCGAGTCCTTAAACCTACAGCCTGCGCGGCGAGGAACCGTCATCTACAGTCAGAACAAAAACCGATTTACACGTCTCAAACCGAGCAGAGGGAGGAAAGTAAAACGTGACAGGAACGAGACGGCGTGCTGCTAGTTTTTCTTCTTGACGTTGTTGTTTGAGGCGAGCCGCGGCCGTGGCGCCGGGATCAGGCTTCCCAACGGGACTCGACTCCGAGCCACCTCGAAGAGTTTGGAGAAAACCTGGAGGGAGAGAAAGAGGAGGTGAAGTGAGGTGAGACAGCCAGAGGAGAGAGCGGCCGCAAACACTGAGGTCAGTAAACACAACTGATCAATAATAATAATAATAATAATAATAATAAACAGGAACAGGTGTAAACATCCGTCCTCTAACAGAATCCTACAGATTCTCATTTCTTCTGGTTTTAGATATTTCCTTGAATCGTCCGAGGATTTAACTGCATCAAACAAAGAAACGTTCACAAGCGATGCCGTTTGTTCCCTCAGCTTTTCAAAATAAAATAAACCTGTGCTCACTCTCACCTTTCGTGGAGTCCTCTGAAGCATTGAGAGAGAAGAGAGAGAGCAAGGATTAGAGGAAGAGGAGGATGAAAAGAGGATGGTGAAGGACAGACCTGCGCTGCGGCCACGAGCCCACACAGACAGGTGACTAAGTCATACCAACACTAATGATGAGACGTAACCATCAACCAGCTGATTGTTCTGGGTTTGTTCTTAAATTCCCGTCAGTTTGAAAACTTTCAGTAAACCTGGAGAGTCGCTTTCCAAACCGACTCTCCAGGTTTTTCTAAATTCAAATGAAGAACAAACACCAGAGGGAAAACCCCACGCCTGAGACTCCACCTCTCACCTGTTCCCAGAGGGTTTCAGCCACCTGGTCGATGACTCCGCCGACCTCGCGAAACTCCCCGGAGTATTTGACGTAAGCCCAGACGCAGAGCGCCGTCAGAGCCACGCCCATCACGAGGTTGCACATCATGGCCACGGAGCTGATGCCCACGAAGCCCGTGACCAGCGACACCACGTACATGATGAACATGACGGCGAACAGCGTGGCGGGCGTCCGCGCGGCGTAGAAGATGTTCTTGCCGTCGTTGTGCTTGCTGAAGTTGGCGTAGGCCTCGTCGAGCTCCGCCTCCAGCTGCTCCTGGTAGCGCCGGCAGAAATCCTCGCCGCCCATCTTCTTCACGGAGCGGAAGTGCCGCACCGACGCCTGCCGCAGCTCCACGTGACGGCGCTCCAGCTCTGCCGGGGAGATGTAGGGTTTGTCTCCGCCGCAGACCTGAGACCGGACACGACACACGAGACAGTTTAACACAAGAAAATAAATTCATTTCATCCACATCCAGCGACGTCGTTACCTGCTCCATGCTTTTGTTGTACATGTCTTTGGCTCCTGCTACAGCTGCAAGGTTATTGGCTTCAGCGGTTGCCTAGGAAACAGACAACAGAACACACCTTTAAATATAAAGAATAATCCAGTAACACAGAGTCCACAGTGTGTTAATGAACACTCACTGTCGACCGGAGACCATCTGGTCGATTAAACAGGAATTTAAACTGAGACGAGTCGTCGAACCTTCAGGTCAATTGAATGTGGTCACATGTCACTCTGGTCCAACAGTAATAAACCAGTTTACTCCGACACGACCTACATACAAGCTCGTCTTCCAGTTTGAAATACTGCCAAATTTACGAAGCCAAGAAAAAGGCCATACTCACAAATATTTTCAACTCGTTATCACAAGATAACGAAGCTCGTTATCCCGAGGTAACAAAATAAAATCATTTTCTCCTGATAATATCTCGTTATCTTAGCATAACGAGCTTTGTCATCTTGTGATAACAAGACAAAAGATAATTTGTGAGTATGGCCTTTCTGAGCCTCTGTACAAACCGTCATCTGTTGACTTTCCACAACTTTTATTTACATCCTCTGGGCATTAGTGCGGCGAGAGGAGGGCTGCTGTCTGCTGGGGCTGCAGCAAGTCTAACATGCAGTTAACCAGAGTTGTACATTAATAAAATAATTATTAGTTTAAACGAGTATTTCTGGTGCTGACTAACGAGGGTAATCACACATCACTACACATATATTCTCAGCTAATAAACATGAACCATGTTGTTAAAGAGATGTGTTGAACAGTCTGCTCTTCTGTATTAAACATCATGACGTTAAGTGTCCAGGGAGTGGAGCTGTGTAACAGTGAGGTGATCTGAAGCTGAACCCACCTGCAGCATGGACTTGGGGTGAGGAAGCTCCTCCCCCTGGTAGATCTTCATGTAGGCCTGAAAACACAACGACAGATGGAGAACTGAGTGTGGAGAACAATCAAACAACAGAACAAAAAAAAACAAACAAACACTTAAACACCAATAAAAAGCTTCTGACTCAGTAAATTCACAAAACTCTAAAACAGGAATTTGCCAGAACAATCCCAACTCAAGGTCCCTTACTAGCTTTTTCTAGAGCAGTGGTTCCCAACCTGTGGGCCGTGTAGGTGATGCAAATGGACCGACAATTTAATTTGCAAAAACCGGGATAATTTTGTAATTATATATAAAAAAACTGCACATATAAATAATATTTTAAAAACATTAAAAAATTTTTAAAAAAGTCCTGAATGTTCCATCTTTACCATTAAAACAACAAGAGATTTCAACCAGTGCTTTAAAGGGGGAGAATCGTTCAACTGATGCTCAACAACAATCCTTACAGACAAACTGTTATTCTCTCCTAATAAACTTTGATCTTCTCTCATTATATAAACTCAGTTTCAGAGTCCAGGTATGTGGAAGCTGCTTTACAACTTTAGTCCTAGAAAATAAACTGTATTATCTGGTTATTACTTATTTTTTAATGAATTTAAATTCTTTTATTTTTTAAAAACATCAGCGCATCAGAAAAAAGATTCTCTAAAAACAGAAACAGGAGGCGTCAACCAGAACAGAGCGAAATAAAGCAAACAAGACAAGCTCCTGAGAAACATCATCTTCATCATCTTCATCAGTGTGCTTCTGCTTCATCCTTTTACTTATGCACATATAAAAAGAAACACACCTGTTTTCTGTCCTGTCACACATCCTTTGATTTCTCACTCACCTTGAAGTACTGCAGCAGGTCTCTGCAGGTGATCTTCACTCCTCCGATCTCTTTCTCCACCAGGTTCTCTGGAGAGAGCAGCGTCGGCACCAGGTTCACCAGCTCCTTCTTAAAGTCCTCGTCGATGTCTGAGACACAAACCGACAAACTGACGGCTTCAACACAAACTCGTTAAACCAACAACTTTGTTTTTAGGCATTTAGCTCACACTGTATTTTTTATCATCATCATCATCATCATCATCATCATCATCATCATCATCAGGAATGACTGCGACCTGCCGGAGTGAGGTGGAAACTCCTGGTTCAACCGGCAGCTCATTTCTCACCTGGGACAACCGAGGAACTTTAACACCTTTCAAAATAAAGGTTTCTGGCTCAACTTGCACTGAGGATTTGCAGTGGTTTGGACGTATTCATGCGTGTGCACGATGTAGTTGTTATGTTGCCTTTCACATATATACTGCAGCACTTTATAAAGGTTCTTTAAAGTTATTTGTTTTTTCAAGGTGTTTTCTTGTTGCTACGACAGTAAAATATTTTAGGTTGTTTTTAAATATCTTTAAATGACCTTTAATTTACACACGGTGCCTTCAGCTGGTTTATAGATATTTTTATTAATTACAAAACAACAGCAGCAGCATCTTAAACCTGCAAATAAATATGTAAATGTGCGAGTAACATTTTGACACGGGCGAGAAAAATCTTCAGTGTGAAGCTTCAAGTTAATATCAGCTTCATCGTCTACATCATAAACTCTGCAGATTACAGTTCAATCATTTGCCATTATAGAAAACTAAGATGTAGTTTAGAGGTGCTGCAGCTTGTCAGAGAGAATGAAGGACTTTTTATTGGCGTCCTGTGGATGTCCGGGGCGTCATCATGTGGACAGACTGTGACGTCACTGACATCAACCTTTAAGCTTCGGCAGCTCTGAAGATTTTTAATCCCCGTTTACAACCTGGATTCAAAGTCTGGTTTCACTCAGGTGTTCGCTTCATTCCCCTGTCAATCATTACGTGATGTGCTGCTGAAATAAGACCTCACTGTTCCTGTGGTGGGCGGCAACCAGCCACAACAACAACAACAACAACAACAATCAGCCACAACAACAACAACAACAACAACAACAACCAGCTGTGGACCGGTCATTTTGACTGGTTAACCAGTCGGCTCTGTGTCGGGTGCGTACCTCTGAGCCGGCCGTCGAACTGCGGGTTAGTGGCGACCCTGAGGCCGGGGTGCGGCAGCAGGAAGCAGCCGATGTTGGAGAAACAGGAGTGGATGTGTTTCCTGACGTTCTGCAGCTCCTCGTGTTGGTTCTGCTTCACCTGAACACGGATGAGAACACGTTAACGCCACCCAGCCTCATGCAGATCTCCATGGAGCTGTTGGAAGGTGGAGTTTCTATCTTTTGATGATTAATCAAGAGGAGTTTTATTAGTGATTCTTCTGTATTCAGACATCAGAGCTAGATGCTGTTTCCTCCCAGACACGTACAGATATTACAACAAGGTTAGAAGAGAATAATCTAAGGAAATAAAACCAAATAACTGTTGAGTCGTTAAACGTAAGAGCAGCAGTTTCCTCCTGCTTCAGTCTTTGTGCTGAACTGGTCCTGGATCTGTCTCTCAGCTGTGATGTTCACATGAACTCGCCTGCAGCCGTTTCTCCAGGAAGCTCCACCCTCCCTCCAGACCGTACGGATGCTCGTAAGGGTAACTCCAGTCCCGGATCAGGAACATCAGCGTCTGAGAACAGGGACAGACATTCAGCTTATTGACCCAACATCAGAGTCTGGACTTCTGTCACATCGTCACCTACTTCTGAAAATAATCTGAGTCTGTGGTCAGGACTCCAGCAGCAGCTGCTAGAATGACGACCAACTTGGTTCAATTGTTTTTGCGTCTCATCAGCTGCTGAAGTGGAAACAAGTGCAGCTGGAACCAGAATAAGTCACGAAGCCTCAGAGTAAAATTTAATTCTAGTTTTGTCCACCTTTTAATACATATATAACTGCAAAAATGAAGATGATTAACTTCTTTCGCTCAGCCCATAAACTGAACCGATTAAATTGAGAATTTATCGTGAACGTATATTTGTGTTAATTAAACTAAACTCAAACTACAAGAGGGACGTGACAAAGCTCATTAAATTAAACATCTTCTCATTTAGTTGTTGAGGGACTAAAGTTGATGGAGGACAGAGAGAGTGTGAGCAGATCCCACCTGAAAAGGTTTCTCGTAGACCTCCTCCATGGCCAGTCGTCCGTACTCAGTGAAGAGCTGAGGACAGGACACAAGCACTCAGTTTAAAATCCAGTCAAACACAACAACACATTCCAGCGAGCTCGTTTAGTACAGATGTGACAGTTGAGTGATCCAGCTTCATCCGGTCTGAGAAAGCTTTTCCACTTCCTGCTCTGAACTCTCCGACTCTCTGCTGCTGCAGCTGAGAGAAAAACTCATGTTGGTCACGTTCAAGCTGATTCTCTGTCGGCAGCTGCTTTAAATCTTCACAAGGAATCCTGCACAGGTTTTACACCAGACCCTGAGTCCAGTTGCACAAAACACCTCAAGTTTTCTACTTAAGTGAGTAAGTACTTACCAACTCCCTCAGCTAAAGAGAGATTAAACCTTCAGGGTGTTGAACAAAATCTCTTCTCTTTCAGCCATTAACTCACCGTGTTGCAGTCAGAGAGATGCCTTTAGTTTTTACTCTTACTTTGGTCATTAAGGTCTGACTTTAAGTGATTCCTTAAGTATAAGACCAAGATAAGGAGAAAACCTTCAACACTTAAGTGAACATTTTAAGGAAACCTTAAGACTTGGGGTTGTTTTGTGCACCTGTTTATTTGAAGGAAACCGTAACTCAGACTTTGAGCTGTTCTGTGCAGCTGGCCTCAGACTCTGTGAGATGCAGAGATGAGCAGCTGGGTCCAAAGATGGAAGAGAGGTTTCAGTGTGAGCTGCTCTCTGCCTCATTTGGCTGCTGGGTTCTTCTCTGCGGTTAATCCTGAGCACATCGTACCAACACCCGATATGGAGCTCTTCACTGTAACAGAGACGCTGCTGTGAATGTGTTGGATTAGAGATCAGCAGTCAGACGCCTCGTTATCGGCACCGAGAGGTGAAAAGATGAAAACGACACAAGGTTCTGCTGAGAACGCACGAGGGGGAAACGGACAAAATAAAGTGTTTTAGATGATATATCTGACTGAGAACAGATGAGACACCTTTGACTGGTGGTTTACTCCTCATGATACCCTCCCCTCATCAGGGAGTTTGAATGGATCAGTCCTTTCCTCACTCTAACCACACTAAACCTTTCACTAACCACAGCCACCTCCAAGCTGCACAGAAACATTTACATCTACGTTCAGCCACAGACTTCACGTTTGGTGAGCTGGGTGCTTCTGTCAGTAACTCTGCAGGGATCCATAACTTGGCCTCAGAGTCACAAGATGCTGAAACATGAGACGGAGTCAAAGAAACCCAACTGAGGAAACCTTCAAACCACAGAGGAACAAATTGTACTGTGGTTCTTTTCAGTGTTTCCTTTTTCAGCAGCTTGTTGTGATCTGGAAGTTAATAAAAATGAGCAGCTGCTTGCGGGTCTGAAGTAACCAGGAAGTGTCCGAAGGAGCAGAATACAAAAAGTTCCTCTCTATTTATAATCTCTGAAGGTTGGAACATCTGCATCGTCTCACAGTGCGACAGAGTGAAAACAAACCAGGAGAGAAAACTGAATCATGGGACAGAGGTTTGAAGATAAAGTGAAGAGTGAACTTCTTTAAAAAAAAAAAAAGAAGCTCCTCCAGTGTAAAGGTCTGTGTCCATGTGTAGTGTGATTATAGATCAGCTCTAGCTTCTATATTAATACTGTGAAAGTATCAAAGCCTCAGTCCACAGAGAAATGCACACAGCCTGTATTCAGAAACTGAGCCTTAAAACCAGCCGTCAGGACTTCTGGAACTTTGTGATGTCACAACAAAGCAGTCACCAAGCCCCGCCCACCTGGACCCACCATCCAAACCTTGCAGGATTTGGTTTCTCTGAGTGTTTTTACCTGAAATCTGCTATATATTTATTTTACCAATCACAAGAGAGTCTCAGAGCCTCCTCTCTTCTGATTGGCTCACAGACCTGTTGTTACTAGAGCTCCAGAGAGAAGCCTGAGAGAGGAGATGTAAAACTACACTGAGATGGTTTTTATTTCTTCTGATGGATCAACACTTCAAATAAAACACAGAAGAAGTCCCCATGAGGCTGTAGAGAGGCTAACGAGTTAGCTTAGCTTAGTTATCGTTTAACCTCGCACCATATTGGATTCATCCCCCACAAAAGCCAGAGAAAGTCGTTGAGTAGAGCGGTGAGTGAAAACTGACCTGGAGGTGCTGGAGGTCGTCTTCCTGGACGTTCTGGGACAGGTTGTAGACCTGAAACACAACAAACCAAGACCTCAACCCGTTAGTGACTCAGGACCATCACACATCCCACGGCACTCAGATCCTGATGCCTGAGAACTCACTCTGCTACACGGAGGTGGACGCCATCATTTCTGTCTCTTTTCTACAACAGTTATAACATCAGTCTGAATTAATGAGCTAATTTCCTTAATTAACAGAATCTAACTGAACTGACACACATTAGAAATAAACAGCCGGCTGACCTGGACAGAGCTGGTCATGGTGCTCAGGGCGAACAGCGTGGCGCAGTCTTTGATGGTCGACTGGCTGTCAAACGCCCCCTGTGTGTCGATTAGTAGAACTGCAACCTGCAGGAACAGCAGCGCGTTCATTTCATCCCAACGTTATTTTAAAAAAAAGGAGGAGATAAAGACGCTGGCTGCTGTGAACGCTGCCGCGGCGTCGGCCTGTGGACTGACCTTGCAGCCGTCTGGTTTCTCCACCACGAACACCTCGCTCCAGGCCAGGATGCCCGTGGTCTCCCTCTCGCAGCCGCCCCGCCAGGTGAAGCCCGTCAAAGGCTCGTCCTCGTCGCCCACCCACGACTCGGACTGGAGGAAGAGAAGAGGGTGGAGAGCTTACAGCACTGACCCTGTTCTGGTTTCATATTAGAGACCGTTTCTAAGATTAAACCCAGAATGAAACGACGTGATGAAGCAGGTTCTGTACGTCAGGTGATGATTTATACACTTATGACACAATTACTAACAACACTGCCTTTTCACAGACAGTGAGAGTAAACTTTAATATTATCTGTGCAACAATTTGCAATTTTTTTTGGCAACAACTGTTCAACAGTAATTCAGCTGAACTGAGAGAAGAAAACTGCAGCGAGACATTATTCTATCACTAAAGTTGGAGCTCGTGATGACAGAAGCAGGACAGTCGTTCAGTGGATTTCTGTCTTAATGCGTCTAATTTTTTATTCATTTTTTATTCATTCCATCACTATATATTAACAAATAAATGAATCATAGTACCATCATTTTGGCAGGTATTGTGATACGAGTCATGATTTCAGTGGGAGCTTTTGTCAGCGCTTGTACCAATATATATATATATATATATATATATATATATATATGGTTGTTAAATACCAAATAAATCCAAGTCATTTATCTCACTGATGCAGAAAGAACCAACACATGAAGTGAAAGTAGCTTCTATGGTAAAAGTAACATACGCTGCTACTAATCTAATCTGCTGCAACACGCACACGTTTCAGTGTGATCCCTGTGCCAGAGCTGTGTGAACAACCTTACCATGACCCTGATCTGTGTGGGCGGGGCTTATTCTATGCATACAGACAGCCTTTATGTGTGGAATAAGCAGCACAGAGCTGTGGAGGCCCAGCCACAGAGGAGACCTTGTGCCGGCCTAAAATCCTCTTTGCAGTGTGATGAAACCCTCCAGAATGTTCCTCAGCGCTTACCGTAGATTAACACGGCCACGCAGCCACACTGCCACACCCACACACACACACACACACACAGTGTTTCAAACAGGAAAACTTTGACTGGATTCGTTTCCTGCTGCAGCAGCTGACGGTTCGACTGAAACAGTTAAAACTGTCGTCCAGTGTTTGATGATGATTTTATGGTTTAATGTCATGAGGAAGATTTCATGTCGTGTTGGCAAACTTCTAAAACTCCTGTGCTCATCTCTCTCTCAAATTAAATCGAAGGCAACTGGACTCGTATTTGTCTGTGGAAGACGTTTCGCCTCTTATCCAAGCGGCTTCATCAGTTCTTATGTATTGGTCTCTCTAGTCCGCACTAGTCCTGTGCTCATGAAACCCAGAGAACAAACAGCATTAACCCTGAAAACACAAGGATGTGGAGATAAACAGACGGTTTCGATAGTTCCTGAAAAACTTCGGTCTGTAGAGAAACAACATTCAGAGTCTGAGATCTGCCTCTCACTTCACTCTCAGACTGGTGCGGCCCTTTGACACCAACTGCCATCAGTGACTTTGTTTTGTTAAACTTCCAAGGTCTTCAGAAGAAAAGGTTCACAGGTTTTTAAATCTGTTTGAGTCAATGCTCTGTACGTTGGGACAGGTTACTGTTGGCTGCAGTGATTCTGAGAGAACGGGTCAAAATCCACAGTCCTCCTCCTGAGGAAAACAACTTCAGTTCAGCTCAGGTTAATATTCTACAGCCTGAGTTCAGAAGAAGAAGTTAACTGAGTATTTTCTGATCACTTTCATGCCTTTTATTAGAGATATGGACAGAAGAGAGACGAGCAGCCACAGATAGATAACAACAGCCAGGTGTGAACTCAGGACGCTGCAGCTCATAGTCGACAACGAAGCAAACTCCACCTGCTGATTACGACCTCCACCGCTCAGACTAGCCATTACTCAAGACTTCACACAAAAACTAGTGTTTTCATAGTTCACCGTGACCTTGACCTTTAACCTTGAGTCACCAAAACCTAATCAGTTCATCCTTGAGTCCAGGTGAATGTTGTGCTACATTTGAAGAAGTTCCTATCAAGGTGTTACTGAGATATGGTGTCCATGAGAATGAGACGGCTGGAGAAACAGATTAAAACCGTCACCTGCTCTCAGGTGTTCTACAGTTCACCACGGCTTCAGGTGACAGTTTACCTGTTTGTACATGTAGCGCAGCATGAAGTCCAGCAGGAAGGACTTGCCCTTGCGGAAAGCGCCGGCCACAGAGACGACGACCACGTGGAGGTCCTGCACCTCCTCCTGCAGCAGCAGCCTCTCCAGCGCCTCCTCCTGCAGCGTGAACGAGTGCTCGTCCTCGTTCGCCGTCACGATCTGCACCGGTCTGGCCACGCCCACCTCCTCCCCCTCCTGCAGCAGGTCATCGTCCTCCTCCTCGCACCTCATCGGGGAGGTGTCCGACGTAAACCTGTGGCCACCTGAGAGGGAAAGGTGACCAGAAGGATCAGAAAATAAAAATTAATAATATTATTTTCTTAGCTAAACACCAAACTGTTTCTGGATAAATCTTCACTTCATATCTACATTCAGAATAGTTCAATATCCAAATCACCATTTTTCTGATAAGGTAAAATATGTCACATTGTTGTTCATTGTTAGCATTAGCATTATTAGCACCATCAGTGTTGTGGTGCTACAGAGACGCTCCGGACTACAAATCATATTCTCCAGACGTAAAGGAAACATGTTTGTTTGGTACAAGACCAACAACAATCACATCATCATCATCTTTTCATTTTTTTCAGTGAAAATGTAAAAACAATCTTTCCAACTGAAATCAAAATATCTGCCAAAAATAAAAAGCAATTTTTTGCATAACGTGCAGCTCTAATCGACATCATCTTCTTTTAACACCAGGCCGATACTGAGCCAGCAGACCGGTTCTTCTTCTATCACATGATCAACAACAACAACAACAACAACAACAACAACATATTTCTCTGCTGAGACAATAAAGACGGTATCTGTCCATCTACCCTCACAACTCTGCTCATAAATGTATCCTGTGCACTTGCCTCCTTAGACCTGCTGTGTTACCACCTGTCTCAGGTTACTACCTGAGCAGACGTATCGAGTCACTGCTCTCACCTGTCGGGAATCACCCAGTAACATGTCAATAAAACCTCTAATAATATCCAGCCAGTGTGGTCTTGTCAGATATATTTGTATCAGTATGAAATCACTGCTTTGTATTGGTGCAGTTGTCATGGCAACAGAAACAAAGATATGTCACCGACACCTGAATTGTGTGATCAGCTCTACTGAGACATTAAAAGACAGTGAGGGGACGGGACGTCGTCTCTCCACTCAGCGTCCTCAGTGTGGACGCGCTCCGCCTCCACCACAGGGGCCAATACACTCTGATGGAGAGACGTGACGGGAAAAAGAAAAGAAAAAAAAAAAAGTTTCTTGACCTCCTCCAGTTAGTGAAGCGTCGTAGGAGCTCGGCCAAGAGGAACGCTGAGGGGAATCACTGCTATTATGGGATGGCAGGAGGTTTACAGTAAACAGACAGAGCCTTCAGCCAGAGTCAGTGTCTAACCTGTGGACTAATGACGCTTCGAACTCTCCTTTTATGGCAGCGGTTACACTTCACTGATCTGCAGCTGTGGAGATTTCAGAGAGAAGTATTTGACTCCTTTTGGACGCTCGGAGCAGAGTTTTATCATCAGGTTACGTGACGGCGCTCACTCAGACGCCGTCATGTGATTCCACAGCTAACCACAGCAGCCTGCGGCCTCATGGGAACATGCACAGCGTCTTCATTCAGGTCGGTGTTAGAGCCGGTCGGGGCCACGTGAGAGCTCTGCAGGCAGCGACACAACGACTGAACGGCCTTCATCACTGAACTGTTACACATGCAGCAGAGTTCACTTGTAATGAAATGAGCTACATGAATAAAACTGCCATTACCATTGATTAAAACATAACCCATCACAGTCATACCATCCAGGGGAGGTGGAAATAAAACACAGGGTGACATTAACAGTTGTTTTGGGATGATGACGATGATGACGATGATGATGACGATGATGATGATGAGAGCCATGACTGAGGCTTTTAAGACGACCAGCGATCCGGTGAAATCAGAGTCCCACTGTTCTCTCTGCTGCACATGAGCTGCCTGAGGGGGAAACACTGAACCAGTGGAAACGCAGTGAAACACTCAAACTATTAGTCAATAAACAGAAAACAGACTCGTTTGAAAATCAGTTATTTATCAGGCAAAAAGAAAAAAAGAAATCTAAACCTGATCTTGTTCAAGCTTCTCCAGTGTGACGACTGGCATCTTCTCTCTGAATTCGCTGCTGTATTGTGGTTTTTTTGTTATATTTAAGTATTTTATTGAACATGCATATCATATTATTATCATTATTATTATTATTATTATTATATTGTGAACAAAACTCCCCATGCACAGTCAATATTAGCGTTCAGGTGATGGTTGGTGAAAATAATAAACAGCTGGCTGTAGGACCTATAGTCTCCACATGTAAATAATTAAACCTTTTTTATGCAGTCAGTTCTTATTTTTCTTAATACTGTGTAAAACTAACTTTTGTAACTCTAGTAATATTAATAATGCCCTGAACTTTGATAATGTATAATATTATTGTCACGTTTACCTTTGTAATATGTTTATCTCTTGAAAAAAAATGTTAAAACACTGAATAATGATAAAATGAAGATGATAATTGGTCATGTGATCTATGTGTTTGGATTCATCACACCTGTGAAGCTGAAGAAGCCGCAGGTGAGTCACAGTGAAGTCATCTCTGTGCAGTGGTTAACTTTGACTTTCCCATTATTATTATTATTATTATTATTATTATTTGGTATTGTCATTTCCACTCTCTTTCTTTGTGCTTCACTTTGCTGCAAACCTCCCACTGTGGGACTAATAAAGGAATATCTCATCTTATTATTTGTGGCCTTGATGAAGTCTCTTAAAAACACTCAACTGCTGTCGATCCGTTGGGAATCACATGTTTCATCTAAATAGTAAATTAACAACTGGAACATGTGGTGAGACACTTCTGTGTCTTTATTGAAATCAGCGCAGGAGAAACATCTCGTATGTTTCAGTGTTTGTGCTGTGACGGCCACGATGATCACATGTCAAGGTCACGGTAACTCATCAGAGGAGTTGTCACTTTTAGACAGAAACTTCATCGTCATTGCATTAAAACACACAACGAAATTAAGTTTGGCCTCTTGGCAGCATATATTAAAATAAAGACTAAAATCATTCAAATATATAAAAATATAATTAGATAAAATATGCGTATAAACATCAATGATATAACTAAAAACTTGTTGGGGAACAGGACAGTATCTGTGTTATCTTTTATAATATCCCAGAAGTCACTGCAGCTACAGCCATTTAAGAATCATTTAAGTGTTAAATATAATTACTGATTATTTAAACTTTGGGACAATACATCCTTAAACCTGGCACTTTCCTCAACAACATACAGGAGAAACTGTTGCCTAGCTATGAGAAAACTTGGCCAGTTTAATGAGGATGTGGTCTAAATTAAAACGAACAGAAAAACTCTGAAAATACTTGTTTTTTCTCTATTTGCACAAAGAACACATTTTAAAAAACAGATTTTTTTCTAAACACTCCTCAGAGTTATTACATTTGAAAACACAGGACTGGTGCAGATGAGGAAAACTGAGATCTCCCGAAACATCAAAACTAATTGAAGTCAGCAAAGTTAGAAAATACTTTTTTGTCCTCCATCTCTTCCTCTGTTATCACTCGTTTAAAAAGCTTTACAGCTGTTGTTGTTATAATATGATGTCATAAAGCTGCATATATATTTGTCATTTGACTTCAGGTCATAAAATGACTTGATTTGACTTTCATGAGCTGCAAACAAGTCAATTTTATATTCTCACTGAGCTGTCTGACAACTACATTACACAACAGAGAGCAGAGGTTAAACCTGATAAAAAAAGGGACAGATTTAGTCGATCAGGTGTTTTGTTGTGGATCGAGACCTTTGGCAAAAACGACCTGAAAACAGAACAGCCACACTGCTGCCACTTCATTGATAATAAACTGGTGGTGGATCAGTGGATCACCTGGTCATGTTTGTTGTCTCCTCAGTGAGCTTCTTACAGTAACAGTTCACTAACACGACAGCAGCAGTGAATAAGCACATTTCCCTTCTTATCTCACACGTCAAGCTGAGCAGTGGATTCCTGTATTTTCATTTTAAACTGTGACCTCCTCATAGCACCTCAGTCACTGTATCATTACACTCGTCAGCAGAGCGGAGGAATCTGGCTTGGGTTCTGCTCAAATGTCTGACTGTAGTGTTCAGCACTAACAGTCTGGTCTGGCTGCATTCACAACAGACAGGCGTGCTCACAGCACTGCTGACCTACATGGCCTGGGGGGGGGGGGGGGGGGGGGTCATGTCTGTTACAACTCAGGAGACGCTCACAAGTGGAGCATGGGGTAGAAATGACACAATGCAAACATGAGAGCACATAACTACAAAAAGGTTTTCAGGTTCTAGTGTGAGCAACATTTTTCACAAGAAGGCAAAACAGCAATTCTTCCTCATTCATGTCAAGACTTGAAATGTGCAACTATTCCATCCAGTATAGTGTCAGATATATTCATGTCTCTTCTTACTAAGAAAAAGCCTGTTTACGCCCAAAAAATACATCCAATATCCCCGAAAGTGTCCTTGTGTAAGAAAAGACAGACAAAACTCTGTTCAAAAATCTTCTAATTTAATGTCTTGTCTAATCAGAGAGCGACAAAACACAATCCTCAAGCATTTTCCTTTTCATTCATCATACAAACCCAGATACATAAGAGGATAACTACACCAGTGCAACCACATGGACATCACATGACTACTGATGCCTCCGTCTTTGCCCCAGTTTGGTCTTGGCCCCAGTTTGGTCTTGGCACACAGTGTGCACTTCTCCACACATCAAGTCGCCGGAGCTCCGTCCAGCTGCAACAACACGAGCAGCAGCAGCTTCACAAACATCCACATTTACTGTCCATCCAGGGAAACTTCACGAGCCTGTGTTCAGCAGCTCTAATGCATGAACACTGCTCGCTGAGGCCTGCCAGACATATCCCAACTCTGACTGTGATTCAGTTGGTAACATTTCATGTTCACAGCAAGCTAGAGGCTTCATCATCAGCCAGCTTGTAAGCTAACTTCACATCAGGTATCAGCTAGCTGAGAGAAACTAACCCAGTGCAAACCCCAAGAAAGCCATCCTTAACTCGGCATACAAAAACAGCTCGGTGTATGTTACTGAATGACAAAATAAAGACAGAATCACAACTGACTCGACCGTTTTTCCCGTCGCCGACACGGTCACAGTGCGCAATGAGAACCGCTAAAAATAAACCTAAAAGCTTGGTTTGGTATGTGTTAGCAATATGGGAGGAGAAATGAAAAGTAGTGACTATAACTCAGGAATTTAAGAAGAGTTATGGATCTCTGCCAAGGAGAAAAGAAAGTTACCATATTTGTAGGTTCGCTCTGTACGAGAGCTATTTTAATTTGTGTAAGCTAGCTAATGTTTTTAACATTAAAAGCCAGTGTCCGGTTATGTTTGACCAGCCCATTATCCACTGCAAGGTGTGTTAGCCTAGCTGGAATTATTCAGCAAGCGAAGTTAGCTTGCTGCCCACTGTTAATCACTGCAGATAACAGATGGCTATTAGTTAGCTGTTGGCAGTTTAACAGTTGTTTGACACAACAGAACAATAAAGAATTAGCTCGAAGAGGCCAGCAGTTGTTAGCAGACTGCTAACAACAAATACACACATTCACCTGCAGGTGAGGGGCTTAACAACACGCCTAACACAATACACCACCCACAGCGGGAGCGAGTCGATGTCGGTTGAAACACAACCCACAGTCCCTGACATCAGAGATAAAGTGCCATGTTTTAAGTGATATTTTACCGCTCGGACACAGCGGGACACAGCGGGACACGGCGGGATGCAAAACGACAGAAGATGCGATTATTCGACGGAGCGGAGCTGCCTGCGGTATCCTCCCTGAAACACACCCCGCGGAGGAGACCACATATTCGGAGAGCCCCCGCTATCATCTGCCGCGTCGATAACGTAATTTAAGAGTCGATATGTGTTTAATTACCCTCTTTGAAGATGCTGTTCTTGTGATTCCGCTGCTTCAACCTGCTCTCCTCCGCCGCCATCTTTCCTGACCTGCTGGTAGCAGCGGACCGCGCTGACGTCACAGAAGCAGTGGCGGTGTCCGCGAGGTCCTAAATACAGAGCCGAGACTCCGCCCCCCCCCGTTTAGCTAGCTGCTAGCATCCATAGCTAACCTTGATATGCTTTTCTGAACAGTTAAACTATTTATCTGCAGGTCTTAAAAAGCCCGAAATGAGTAGAAAGTCAAGTAAAGTTTAACTTCCAAAGGTCTTGGTTTTGTTTTCTTGCCTGCCATAGAAAGTAACATGAGTTATAACTTTTAACTGTCAGGATACAGATGTTAGGAAATACATCGTGTGGAATTCAGCAAAAACTAAAAAACGTATTATTATATTTTTAGATATAGTTAATCTGTCCATCCGTTTTCTGCCATTTATCTGGGTCCAGGCATTGTGCTGCATTCACATGCTCTTTGGTTGCGTTTGGAAGTCGGTCTTTCGACTTCGGTGTGTCCATGTGCGTTTCGGTCAGAATCTGGAAACAATATGGACGCTTCAAAGAAGATGTGATGTATTTTATTAGACATTGTTAAAACAACACGCCGCTAGCTGTTTCTCCTGTTCGTGTTACAGGTTTACTGCTAATAAATTATATTTATAATTAATCTATAGGTCACCCTAAATCAGGGGTGTCCAAACTTTTTGCAAAGAGGGCCAGATTTGGTAAGGTGAAAATGTGTGGGGGCCGACCATTCAGCCTGACATTCTTTGAACCATTAACATTAAATACAAACGAACTATTTTATGAAATTTTTATTGCAAATGGCATACTTAATTTTTTTTCATTTTCAAGTTTTTGCCAAAATCACTCTGCCTTTCATATTTGAAGACCACATAAAATGAAGAAAAGTTCTGTCTGGAAAAAAAACTTTTGGGAAGATGAAACATATCTAGGTTCATTTGAAATATTACATATTATTCACTATTAAATGCTCACTGTAAACTTCTAAATTCAAAACAGTGGTCTGTGCATATTCAAAACTGTGGTTTTGATCATCACAAAAAAATCAATTCACTGAGATTTTAGAATTTATTCACCTCAGAGGACTAATGTGCACTAATGTGACGGGTGATACTGAGATCTCGACAGCAGTATGTAGTCCAGGTCTGGCTCAAAAACAGTGGTTTTGATGCGCAAGACGTCACGCAGTTGAGAGTCACTTAGTCTCGTCCTCACGCGGCTCTTGTTAATGTTCATAACCTAGAATGTCTTCTCGCACAGGTATGTCGAGCCAAACAACATTTGGAAAGTTTTTCACCATCAACCAAACATTTACTTTTGTCCGCCATATGTTTCTGCTTAAATGGCGTCAACAACTTCGAAGTTGTTGTTCCGGCATTCATGTGAATATTCTGAGCCAGAAACAAATTTTTCAGATTATTCCGACACCACATGAAAACAGAGTTATAAAACAAAGGGCCCCTGAGCATAGACAAATAAGCAGCGTCTCTTTGTGATCATTTTGCCTCTCTTTGTAGTCCTTTAGCTGAGCTCTGTGACTTCAAAGAAGGAATATTAATAGGCCTAGTACCTGCATATAAAGGCTCTTGACCAGGGGATCCCTGACCCCCCAGGCCCCTGGGACTGCTCCTGTTCAGTAATCCATCCCCGGGTGGATGGTCACATTATTTTAATAATTACATTTCGAGGAATTATTGTTATATACAGCTGTCAGCAGTGTCTGGTATTAAAAAGGTCTTAAAAAAACTTCATATTTAACTTGTGAACACTATGGAAACCAAGAAAACATGATATTGGGGTTTTCTGAAAATAAAAGATAAATAATATAATAAATTAATGGACATTCACTGCACCACGGTCACCAGCTAATGCACAGAGTTAGATGTACGTCTGGTTCAAATGGTTGGATTTTACCATCTTCTGTAAAACGTGGCACTAAATGGATGGGCTAAAATCCAAACTAGACCTAATTCATCCTGAATGTCAGAACTTGTTTTTGAAACCTTGTGACTTTTCTGTAGAAAATGGATTTGAGTGGAGACAGTCATCTGATTCGCAGGATGTTGGTGGTCAGGAGAAAATGTCCTGTCTTTGTTAATCCGTCCTCTCTCAGTTCATGTTGTTATTTCAGCTCATTTTAAAACGGAGAAGACACAGTTGTCTCAGACACACTGTTGACCTTGTTCTTGAGCTCCAGCCGGTTTGATCAGATTACAGTCTGTCTTCACACCTGGATGCCAGTGTGGTTGAGTGTTATCTGATGACAGTCCAGTCAGACTGGCTCTCTGCTGCCTGTTTTCAGGAAAACAGTGGGAGCAGCTGATAACATGAGCTGCTGTTATGGTTGCAGCTGAAACACACCACAAAGCCTTCAACTGTCATTTTCTTCCACTTTTTAGTTTGGCTTATCATTGGCTAATCACCACAACACATCACAACAGAGATGAAAAAAGACAATAATTTTTTATTTTCAAAGCTACAAGCAGAATAATGAATTTCATATAAGTCAGATGAGGCTTTATCCTGCAGTTTGCAGTGTGGCTCAGCTGAAATGTTGGTACTGTATATGTACAGTGAGATGTGCTGCAGAGTACAGCAGGATGGAGGCTCCAGAATCCTCACAGAGGACTCAGATCTGAAATCATTTAGTCCCTGAATTATTGATGAAAACACAAAACCAGCTGCAGAGTCTTGGATGAGAAGTCGTAGTCAATCATGTTCCTGCTTTTTCTGAAACTGTGCAGCAGCTTCTGGCTCTGAGAACATTCACCACCTCTTGTCTGGTCGTAGCATCTAACCCCAACCTGTACAGAGAGAGGTCAGAGGTCAGAGTCTGGAGCTTCCTGCTCCACATAGAAATCCACATAGTTAATGTGCAATGACTAATTAGGCTGGTTCCAAATCAGTCCCACTGTTCGGGAAAAAACAAACAATGATTGTTGAAAATTGTCACGCATCTTTAGGGGTTTTTAAAATGATTTTTAAGGGCTGAATCATGGTGCAAATATAATAACGATTGTACATCTGCCAATGCGGGTTTGAACTGACGACTTTTTAGCCAGAGACAATCAATCAGAGACAAATCACCATCAACAACTGTCAAACAATTTAATGGTCAGACAGGGAGGACAAACACTCTGCAGCCCATCTGTACTGAACTCAGTTTAATCAGAAAGCAAAGATTACAGTCAGAACCTGCAGTTTAACTTCACAGACTCCGGTGCAACATATGACACAACATTTACTGATATCAGCAGCTAACATGAACCCAAACCCTACCTGACAGAAAGAACACATGGATTTCACATGTTTTGCACGTGTTACATGGTATCAAATGCTGCAACATGTGGTACCATGTAGAGCACATGTGGAGAACAAGTTACCACAGGTTATAACATGTTATAACATGTCACAAATACTGCAGATTTTCAAAGTTTCACCTTAACATTTTCAACATGTGCAGTAATGTGAGTCCTGCAGTTTAGTTTTTGTTGCCTTGACAAGTTAAAAATTCAGCAGTGATAGACATTTTGGAAACAATGTCCCGGTTACTTTGGGCAACTGCAGACGAAATAGTCCCTCTGAAACCTGTTGATAATATGTTCTACAAGGTGCTAAAGCTAGAATACTAATGTTTTTAATGAGCATTTATAAAGTAATTTTTGTGTCATAGTTGCACACGTTAACATACATGTAACATTAACTCTGACTGACTTCATGGCAAAGACTTGCAGGTTGTGTTAAAGCAGTTTTTGTTGATTTTTTTATTGATTTTTTCTGCAGAATCAGCTGATATCTGACACATTATCACCAAACATGTGATCATCCAGCAGAAAGCAACAGGATCAACCCAGTGGAGAGTGTGTGTCCAGCTGATGTGGAAGCAGCAACTGTTTACAACCAAGTTCATCATATCTACTTTAAATCTAACGATGTGTGAGTGTTGGGTACCAGCTGACTGTGACTGCAATAACACTCACTCTCATGAGAATTAAACACAGTGTGTAACTACACAAAGCTAAAGAACCACACTAAAGTATTGCTACTGAAAAAGTCACAGTTCAAACAACTAAAAAAAGAGTTTAATTTAATCCTCAAACTTGAAATAATCTGTAAACATGGGTTCAACACTGGCCATTAATAATGTTGTGCTTTTCTGTCCGTTCACGTCTGGACTGATAACTCGATGATGATGTTTGAGATCATTTCCTCAGTAAACCAACATTGACCCCCCCCTCTTTATAAAAGTTGTTCAGAAGATGTACGGCTGTAAACACACACAGTTTCTGTAAAACTATTACAACAGTTCAAAAACACACTGACTTGAACACACCACTTTTTTTTGCTTTCTTTCCCTTTGCCTTCTTTTTTTAAAAACTAAAATAGAAGTTAAAATCAATCGATCAATAAATCAAACAAATATAAATTACAATTCCCAGTGAAATTTTTTTCTTGTAGTGCTGCACCAGTACAGTACATACTTATACTTATACATACATGTAGGTACAAGATATGACGTCAGGGAATAAGAGGATAACAGTGAGAAGAATTTATGCTGTTGGTATTTTGAACTAACAGGTAGTTGTTGTCTTATTATTAACAGTGTGACTGTTACTGAGCAACAAGGGAACCTTTACTTTACACATTTTAAAGCTCCTCCAGTGTAAAGGTCTGTGTCCATGTGTAGTGTGATTATAGATCAGCTCTAGCTTCTATATTAATACTGTGAAAGTATCAAAGCCTCAGTCCACAGAGAAATGCACACAGCCTGTATTCAGAAACTGAGCCTTAAAACCAGCCGTCAGGACTTCTGGAACTTTGTGATGTCACAACAAAGCAGTCACCAAGCCCCGCCCACCTGGACCCACCATCCAAACCTTGCAGGATTTGGTTTCTCTGAGTGTTTTTACCTGAAATCTGCTATATTTTAATTGGATCACTCAGAAAACAGTGAGCCAATCAGAGGAGAGGCTCAGAGCCTCCTCTCTTCTGATTGGCTCACCGACCTGTTGTTACTAGAGCTCCAGAGAGAAGCCTGAGAGAGGAGATGTAAAACTACACTGAGATGAACCAGAAATATATCTTCTTATGGATCAACACTTCATATAAAACAAAGAAGAAGAAAATATGGAGCTTTAAGAACTATGTAGTTTAGCTGTCCTCTTTCCAGTGTTTTGAAAGAAATCACAGCAGATTTATATGATGTAATGGTCACACTGTGTCCTGTAATAACTGAATAAATACTCATTCTTTAAATGTCTACAGTCTAAAAATATTCTTAAATTCCCACGTTGCTACCCTCTTATTCCCCTGCACCTTCATGTATGTACTGGTGCACTCCACTGCACATTGTAGGCCGTAATCTAAAGCATTACTAACTATGAAATAAAATAAATACTTAAAATAAATCCATATTTCTGCAGAACCAAACAAAGGCAATGACATATTAAAACAATAAAGATGTTTTAGGATTTAAATAAAAATCTCTAAACAACATGTCTCTCTTCCTGGCTGATATCTGATTGGTTTACAGTTTGTAATGATTCCTCCCTGAGTTTTGTTACAACAACAAATATTTCAGCCTCTAAAATTCAGTTTTATTTGTGTCTGTTGATAGTTACAGTTTTAACTTGAGGATACGAAAGGGTCGTTTGTAGAGGATAAAGTCATTTATTGATTTTGATTTGTCATGCTTGATTGAATGAAAGTGTTCAGCTGGAAGAAGACTTGTGTTCACACGTCGGAGCAGAAGGATTTTCCTCTCAGACCGCCGACATCATTCAGGAAAAGGCTCATCAAACTGCCACGAGTCATTAAGGTGCTGCTCTTCTTAAAAAAAATGCTTCGTCATGACTCCATCTCCCTGCTGCACGATGAGTCGACACACAAAACTGAAATCCTCCGTTCATCTCTTTCTCTTTTTGTAACAAACACGTTTCCTCTCTGGGTGACTGTGGCAGCCATCTTGTTTGTGGGTCACAGGTGGGAGGAGGTGGAGAAACAGAGTTTCAGGGTGAAGGGGTTGGAGCTGTCTGCAGGCCAGAGAGGGAAACAAGTTCACTTCATAGAGAACAATGATGACAGTCAGGCCACCCATATAGACATGTAATATGTAATATGTGACATATATGTCCCTATATAAGATATATGATTATCACTTATATACAAATATGAGGCATGATAACATATAACATTTTAAACATGTCTATTCTCCCATTCTAAGGGACCATGGTCTGAGACTTTGAACCTGCTAAGCATTATAACCCGCTCTATCGTTTAAATATAGCTTCATTAACTATATATATATATACACATATTATCAACATAATTGACAGGCTTTGGGAAAGATATATATTTATGTAACATACACTATGTCTAAATTATAAGCATATATAAATGATAAATGCCCAATCTATATTTCCAATTTGTAACAGGTTTCATATATAATTCTTACATGTACATATATGAAAATTCAATATATACAGATATATTACATTTGCATATGGGTAATGTCATTAACATAATGATGATGTCATTGAACATCATCTTCACTGTCCTGAACGTCACTTTTAAAACTTCCTGTCTCTGTTTATCTGTTTGTCTAAAAGCCACATCTGTATGAAGCCTGACATCTGGTGGTGAAAACAGGCAGGGACCTGACTGTCTGCTGCTGCCTGCTCTTTGGTTATAGATGATGTCACCACCTGAAACCTGCTGCCAGCAGAAGAAATGATCAGAATATTTTAAAAGGATGTTACGTGGTGGAAGTATTTCTTTCACAGCTCTTACTGTTATATGTATACTGTATATATCAGGTATAGTCAGGGTCAGTTGAGAACTTACTGGGTATTCTGATCTGATGATGGTTAAGGACGGTCAGAGCCTCCACCGCTTCAGTTTTACTGTCAAACTCCAACAAGCCCGACAGAGTCTTTGAGCTGGCTGCAAGGAGGAAGAGCAGGAGGAGAAAATGATGATGAAAAAGTGAAAAGGAGAAGACATGATAAAGACAGATGTTGAAAGGTGTATCCTGACAGTCAGATCCCGGGTTTAAACATTTCTGGTCAACGTTGGGTGAAACTCACGTTTGGCGTCAAAGACTTTGAACTTGCTGAAGGCGGGAACGTTGTGTTCAGTACAGAGCTGGAGTCAGAAACAGAGGAGAGAGGTCAGACTGTTTCTACTTTCTCCCCTTGCTTTGTAACTATTTTTTTAACTAATAAAATCACCAAAAGTTATCGATGGCCTTATCATGTCACCTAGAAGACAACCAGAGAGTAGGGACCAGCATAGAGATGAAATCTGCCCGAACAAGCCTATAATCATCATCATCATCTGATGTGTTGTGTTTGTTTAAACCAATCGCCAGAGGTTCGATCGCTATTAAGCAGGGAGACTGGGTAACCTCGGCGGACGCCTCTGGAGAAATGGAAGGAATCCGACAACATCCCATCGGTTGAAATTTGAGGTTTGGGACCTAAAAAGAGTGTCTCCATAAACTGAATGAATGCTTCTCAGAAATTCATTGCTTTTAGAGTTAGCAGAAGGAATCTAGGTTTGATCCCATCGACTGCCTTCTCCGCATCCAGCAACATCAACATCAATTTTGTGCGTGAGCCGCTTCTGTTATCTGCAAAAGCCTCCGCACATTGTCCGAGCCACATCGATTATTTCTTGTAATCTGAATTCAAGAGACTGAGAGGGCGATAAGACGCACGTTTTCTACAATTCTTGCCAGGTTTTGGGAATAATGTTATTGTTGTCAATTGTCAATTCCAGGGAGTTTTATTGGCCAGAGACTGCTTTAGCATGTTTGTTAGGGCAGTGAGGAGCTTTTCAAAACACTCATGAATATTTGGCACAGTTTAGATTTGAAGCTACAACATGAAATGGAAAAGTGAATTGAACATTTAAAGATAATCTCAGAACCTCATCTCATCTCTGAAGGAGTCCCACAGAGCTCCATCCTTAGCCCCAGGTTCTTCTTTAAAAAGCTCTTTTTTACCACCAAACTCCTTCCACCCCAGCTACAACTAAATATAATCCTTCTCCATTAAAAATGCAGGTGTGACCTCAGGTGCGACCTCACCTTGTGCAGCTGGTGTTGAGTGAGGGTGGGCGGGGCGTTGTAGAAGTGCAGGACGGTAGCGGGTGGCTGGATGATGTTCCTGCCGCTGTGTGTGCTGCTGAATCGGTTGTTCCTGGTCAGACTGAAGTCCTGGTAGCTGCTGCTGCTGTCGGCCAGTTCGAACACCTGACTGGGAATCACCGCGTGCTGCTTGGACACGCTGATGGGTGAGGGAGGGAGAGAGGTGTGGGAGGGTGAAGGGTGGGGGAGGCGATGAAGGAAGACGGAAGAAGCTGGTCAGTCAGGGATATGATGTTTGTGTGTTTGAGCTGCATGGGACAAAATTGAGAAGCTTCAGGAGTTGGACATGAGGTAAATGTGAAGTTCAGCATCGAGTTTTAACCTTCTCTGCTTCAATCAAAAGGCCCCTGATGCACCATGGGGGATGTAGTTTACACAGGAAAAAGAATAATATAGAAAAAAACCCATTGTCTTTCCTGTTTGCTAATTCATCCAAACAATCAGCAAAGCGTTGCAAAATGTTTCCTGCTCTAGTTAAAAACCACAGGCACACCCAGATGCATGTTGGTCCTAAACAAGTCTACCTACATAAATAACCTCATGTGCTCATAGTGTTACCCAACAATACACAAAATACTAGTTAACAAAACTAACATTTTCCACCTGGGTTTTTAATACAGTAAAAATCTGTATAAAAACAGGTGGGACTTATAGAGTCTTTCCAACCAAGTACCTTCAACAGACCTGAAGAGTCTAGTGCAAGTCAGAGCAAATGAACATGTGATCAGTTTCTATTTCGTCAATCGTCCTGCAGCCACACTCTTCAGTTTATATTGTGGCTCAAAGAGGATGACAAAATCAAATACATTATCACAGTGATATTCTGACTTGTGTAGCCCTTCCCTGATGTTTAACACAAAAAGAAAAGTCAGACTATTTTCTCTTCTTGCTTTTTAATTATTTTTTTTTTCAATAATATCAACAAAAATAAGTTCTGGTGATCAAGTTATCAATGCTGAAGGTTTACAACGTCCTCTTCATGTCACCTAGACAACCGATAGAGGACAACCAGAGACTAGGGACCAACATTTTAGAGATTAAACCTGCTCTATGATGTGTTCAATGGTATCTTTAAATATTTCACATTCACTAGAAAATTAATCAAGAATTTATAAATTCAACTGAGGCAAAACCCTCATCAATATGATAATCAATATCATTGATTTGAAGCCACAAGTGTCTCAAAGAGCTGATCTGAGAACGAAATGATCTTTAACAGATTAAACATTTCTTTCATTGTTTGTTTGCTTTTGTTTTGGTCCATCATGTGATGAGGTAATGATAGGAACCCGACCACATCGTATACTGGGAGAAGGTTGGAGACCCATGTGTCAGACTCCGCCTCCCCCCACCTCAGTTATGCCTCCTAGATGACGTCTTAAAGTCAAAGGGAGTGGCATCACTCACCAGACATTGAGCTTTTTGCCGAACACCTTGATGCTGTTGAGGTGCGTCACGGCTCGGTCCACGGCGTACTCGTCACCCATCTCCACCAACGCCGTACCGGGAACGCTCTTCATGAACTTCACCTGCAAACACAGCCCGCCACCAAAGTCAAAATCAGCTGATGTGAGGCGTGACGATGATTGACAGGTGTCAGAGGGCGACAGCACACACACCTTCTCCACGTTGCCATAGAGACAGAAAAGGTTGAAGATGCGACTGCAGTTCATCTTGGCGGGGTGGAGGCCGCTCACCATGGCGACGGCACTCGAGGCAGCGTGGCCCAGGAAGGAGGAAGAGGAAGAGGAGGAGGAGGAAGAGGCGTTCTTAGGGAGGAGCAGCGGGTAGGAGATCAGGTCCTGCACCTCCTCACTGCTCCTCCTGTACCTGCTGTTAGAGGGGAGGGGCAGCAGGGGGCAGTGTGGGCCTGCAGAGAGAGGGGTGGGGGGGTGGTAGAGAGGCAGAGAGAGGGAGTGAGAGACAGAGAGGGGGAGGGAGAGGGAGTGAGAGACAGACAGACAGACAGACAGACAGACACAGACAGACAGACAGACACAGACAGACAGACAGACAGACAGACAGACACAGACAGACAGACAGAGAGACAGATAGACAGACAGACGTACCGTAGCCGTTGGATGGATGCTCTCCCAGGATGGCCTGACGCTGCCTCCCCTTCCCCCGCTCTGCAACAAACACAAACACAGAAAGTTTAGCCAAATTAGAGCTGACAGGTAGGTTGTGCCAATGGCACTGTCACACACACACACACACACACACACACACACACACACACACACACACACACACACACACACACACACACACACACACACCATTGCAGTGGAAGTGTGGCAGTCTTGGAGTAATGGCCGAGGTTAGCAGAGTCTGACCCAAATAAGGGCCGAGCGGTGGGAGGTGAGAGCGAGCGCTCCCTCTCTGATGATTCTCCTCAGCAGGAAAATCTATTTTCAGCCTCCAACAGCAGCTTCAGCAGCTTCACCAACCACCTACAGTTTAACCTCTGTGTCTCCGGGCAGAGCTCGCTGAGCTCCTCCCTGCTTAACCCTCCAGCCTGGAGCTTCCTGGTACGACGGGGTCGATTCTTTACTCGAAATACGTCTTTGTAACTGACGTCTAGAGACACATGAAAGTGTCACAGTTTCTGATCAGACCCTCTGGTTGAGGTCTGCTCAGGTTTAAAGGTTCTGTAAATGAGATTTTAAATAATAAAACAGCAGCAAACAGCTGTTCTCTATGTAAACAATATATATCTATATATATATCTCTATGTAATGGAGTCCTGAGGAGAGAACCAAGCCACACCCCCTCTGTGTGATGTCATTTGAGTTTCTTTGTTTTTTGTTTTGGTATCCAGTGCATGCGATTCCCTCATGTTAAACTGTTGTCCACATTTATAGGGGACCGCCCACAGACGTGATGTCACAGTGCAGTACGCAGCATTCAGGTGAAAGTGACCTTCCAGAATTTCCTCCACTGAATAAGAAGAAACCACGTGTCCGTCTAAAAAGGCCTCAAACACAGAAAGAGATGAGACCGGATCACAGATGGACTGGACTGAGGACTACCGGCTAAGATCCTGGTCAGCAAGTCTTTACCGGCTCCACCAGTGTCATTTGTGCAGTCAGTCCCAGTGGATCAGTTCAAGGCTGAATTTCTGTCCCAGTCTGATCATGGAGCTGATACTGGTCTGGTTTACGAGAGGAGAACCCTGCAGGGTCCAGCTGCACACCTCCATGTGTCAGTAACTTGATGCTTCATAATGTTACATGATGTTTTCATTAGTGACGGCTACAGTAGACATGGTAACGTTAGCTAACCTGTTGTTACCCATATTATGAATTTGTTCAGCTAATGTTGCTATCGCTAGCTGGCTAACTGTCAGCATCGCTGTGTAGCATATCACTGCCATGCTAAGGTGAGCTAACGGTTGTGGTTAGATTGTGTTTTCTGTAACAGGAACTTTATTCATCTGTGTTTCTTGTCATGTGTTAAGTGACACTTTCACTGAGCTCCGTAACACCTTGCTGACGGGGATGTGAAGGAGAGGAGGGGGGTGTGGCCAAAGAAGCGTCTGTTTTGGTCTGAGATGCTCTGGTGGTGCGACATCTAGTGACGATCGTTTACAGAACCTTTAGGAGCAGAAAAACCCACTTGGTTCTGTTTGGGTTAAAATAACGACGTGGTTACTTTGAGGAAATGAAACCTGTGTTGACTCAGTGTGTCGCAGTAACTACACACAGTAAGTCTTTCAATTAAGTTGCTGTTTTGTTCCCCATACACCCCGGCCCCCCTCCCTCTGTGGACTCTGTCTTCTCTGGCATCACCTTTTGTTTCCTCCTTTGCTCCCGACGGACAAGAGTCCTTCGATCACTGGAGGACAAACAACAACAGATGCTGTTTTTCTTGGGATCAGTCTCAGGAGATCAGGGACACAAACTCACAATTTACCAACAATGATGTCACGTCATAAACCGACATGATCGTTGTATTTCTGTTCAACGTGACACTGAGGAGATCATTCACAGAGCAACTCAACACTTCTGGAATGAGCTGCCCCTCCCACTCTGCAACCAGGATACCTGAAACAATGAGTGTGTGTGTGTGTGTGTGTGTGTGTGTGTGTGTGTGTGTGTGTGTGTGTGTGTGTGTGAGAGAGGAGCTGAGAGGTGGCGTCCTACCTCGGTGCAGGAGGAAGGGTTTGCTGTAATCCCAGCTGCTGTTGTCATTTCGGACGACGTTCAGTCTGTTGGGCTGCAGGGGGCGACAGAGCACAGCACCTCTGGGTGGGTGTGTGTGTGTGGGCATGAGAGTGAGGGTGCATATGTGTGTGTGCACCTGAGTGTGTGTTTGTCAAGAGCACTCTCTGTGTGTATAAGTGTGTGTGTGTGTGTGTGTCTGTGTGTGTGTGTGTGTGTGTGTTTACCCGAGCGTATTCGATCTTGAGTGTGCAGCAGCCGGCGTAGATGTCAGCGCCGTTCAGAGCCAGTTTGGCCTTCTGAGCGTCCTCTACTGACTCAAATGTTAACGAGCTCATTAAGGATGACTCATCATGCTGACAAGCAACGGGCCAATCATAGGAGAAAAACAAGACCACCACCACACCTCTAGGGGGTTCCCTGTCTGCTTCATTGAATCTAAACCTGATCTGGTCTCAACAAAACACTCCAGTCCAATTAGCGTTAATCCGCCTGCGTCGTATCGACACTCAAGTTAAAGAGTCTGTTAAGCTCCGACCTGCAGCTTTAATGGAGTTAAACTGAATTTAAACAAGTCTCTGCTGATCTGAGAAACACTCTAAACACACACACACACACACACACACACACACACACACACAAACACACAGTCAGGATATTCCACCATGGCCTGGATGCCGTTGCGTTTGAAGATGACGATGCGCAGGACGTTACTGACGGGGTTACAGACGGTGTACAGCACATCCTGAGAGAGAGAGAGAGAGAGGGAGAGAGAGAGAGACAGAGAGAGAGAGAGACAGAGAGAGAGAGAGAGAGAGAGGGAGAGAGAGAGAGACAGAGAGAGACAGAGAGAGAGAGGGAGAGGGAGAGAGAGAGAGGGAGAGACAGAGAGAGAGAAGAGAGGAGGGAGAGGGAGAGAAGAGAGATAAGGGGGAGAGAGAAGACAGAGAGGAGTAGATGAGAGAGAGATGGAGCAGAGAGAGGATGAGAGGGAGAGACAGAGACGAGAGGAGGAGGGGGAGAAGAGAGAGCGAGGAGAGAGGGAGAGAGAGAGAGGGAGAGAGAGAGAGGAAGGGAGAGGGACAAACGAGGGGAAGAGAAGCGACGAGGAGAGTCGAAGAGAGACGAGGGAAGAGTGAGAGAGGGAAGATAGGTGAGAGAGAGAAGCAGAGGAGAGAGAGAGGGAGAGGAGAGAGGGATAGAGAGGAGAACGAGGAGAGACGGAGAGAGTAGAGAGAGAACAGAGAGAGAGAGAGTAAGAGACAGATGAGAGAGAGGGGAAGACAGAGAAGAGAGGAGAGGAGGAGAGGAGGGAGAGGGAGAGAGGGAGAGAGAGACAGAGAGAGAGAGAGGGAGAGACAGAGAGAGAGAGACAGAGAGAGAGAGAGAGGGAGAGAGGGAGAGAGGGAGAGAGAGACAGAGAGAGAGAGAGGGAGAGAGGGAGAGAGAGGGAGGGAGTGAACACAGAATATCACTCAACTAGAATCACCTCCATGTGGTTGTATCCCTCCGCCATCCAGCGATGTATCAGGAAATATGGTGTTATGATGTCAAAGTGAAGTTGACCTTAAATGATAAAATGAAGTGATGACATTTCATCACTGACATCACGACATTTGACCTTTGACCTTTAACCACCAAAATCTAATCAGTTAATCTTTGAGTCCAAATGAACGTTTATACCAAATTTGAAGAAATTCCCTCAAGGTGTTACTGAGATATCACGTTCACAAGACCAAAAGTGCGTTTTGTGAGGTCACCGTGACCTTTGACCTTTGAGGACATTCCCGTTTCAACAGAGATGAGGTGAGTGTTGACGGAGGAGGTTCTGCTGGACTCACGGTGGTGATGGGGTACAGCGGGTTCTGGATGGACAGCAGCAGGACCTTGTTGCCGCTGGTGGGGTCGTCGGCGTTGGTGGGTCTGGTGATCCTCTGGCTGGTGGAGAAGTTGAAGAACGCCTGCTGCTCGGCGATGTAGACGGCCTCGCGCCCTCCACACAACACGCAACGCTCGGCGCTCTCCACGCTGTCGAACTCCACCAGAGCCTGACGCTTGAAGGGCATCATCATCACGTAGCTGCCGACAGGTGACGGAGAGACAGGTGCGGGCGTTACCGCTCATCCCTCAACAACATGTTATCACTGTTTCAACATGGGCTCATTATTGAGAGCTGTAAACTACGGTGGCCCAGAGAGCTCAACGCACTGCGGCTTAAGAAAACACATGCAAACAGACAAAACACAAACAACTTCCGAAAACATCTCCATCAGTTTGACAACACAAGAGCTGCAAATACTCACAACACAACAGGAAGTGTTTCCATGGGGACAATAAAAAGTGATGAACTCGGCTGGGATGCACTTGTTGTTCAACGCTCTGTGGCTTCTGGAGATAAAAGCTTTGAACGAGTGTGTCCCAGCGGGTTCATCACTTTGTTTGTTGTGTTATGAGTATTTTCTGAATTTGTCTGTTTTTTATTTTTTTATTTGCATGTTTTTGTGTTTTCTTAAGTTGCAGTGCGCTGAGCTCTCAGGGCCACCGTAGTTTACAGCGACGTCCTCTCGCCAACAGCTCCTCCAGTTATCTGTGAAGCAGCTGTGATGATCGCTGTAATAACTGTTTTCAGACGCCATGACAGCTTCTTTTCAGCATCATAATAACACACTCATTTATATGCACACACACACACACACACACACACACACACACACACACACAATCCTCTGTGTTTTCATTCAGCTCTCCACCGACACATCAGCTCAACTAGAGCCACACTGTTACTGATACTTAGTAAATGATCACGCTGCCAACACTGATACTGATTTAAATATTAAAGGACCAGTGTGAAGGATTTAGTGGCATCTAGTGGTCAGGTTGAATATTGCAACCAGCTGCAGCATGTAGGAGAACCTACGGTGGCCCTCAGGTAACGAAAAAACGCAAAAGCCACTCTCTAGAGCCAGTGTTTGGTTTGTCCCTTCTGGGTTACTGTAGAAACATGGCGGGCTCCGAGGAAGAATATCTGCTCCATATGTAGATACGAAGCGCTCATTCATAGCTAATGGAAACAAAATGATTTGTAGTTACAGGTAATTACACACTAATGAAAACATGACTATAAATCTTATATTTAATTTCTGCCAATAGATCAACTAAATCCTACACGCTGGTCCTTTAACACTGAGTGTTAAAGCTCCATATTTTCTTCTTCTCCTGTGTTTTATTTGAAGTGTTGATCCATCAGAAGATATATTTGTGGTTTTAAGAACCACAAACCATCTCAGTGTAGTTTTACATCTCCTCTCTCAGGCTTCTCTCTGGAGCTCTAGTAACAACAGGTCAGTGAGCCAATCAGAAGAGAGGAGGCTCTGAGCCTCTCTTCTGATTGGCTGACTGTTTTCTGACTGATCCAATAAAAATATAGCAGATTTCAGGTAAAAACACTCAGAGAAACCAAATCCTGCAAGGTTTGGATGGTGGGTCCAGGTGGGCGGGGCTTGGTGACTGCTTTGTTGTGACATCACAAAGTTCCAGAAGTCCTGACGGCTGGTTTTAAGGCTCAGTTTCTGAATACAGGCTGTGTGCATTTCTCTGTGGACTGAGGCTTTGATACTTTCACAGTATTAATATAGAAGCTAGAGCTGATCTATAATCACACTACACATGGACACAGACCTTTACACTGGAGGAGCTTTAAATGAACAAAGAAAACGATGGAAACCATTTTGAATTTTCACTTAAAACTAGATTAGCTGCAGGGTGAACAGCAGTGGCTGCTGGGATGCTTGTTATGATGAAAGTATCTAAATCAGAGTGGAGTGGATATAATTTTAAAATCTTAAAATCATCTTAAAACATGTCTAGAGGTGGTAATTTAAATGTAAAGGTTTACCAGATGTTGCCGAACTTGTCAAGTGCCTCTACCAAATCAGCCTCCACCACAGCGTCACAGAGCCCTCGAACATGGACGACGGGAGATGGGGGGATGCGGTGACTGTCCTCCACACCGTCCTGCAGAGAGAAGAGAACTCAGAATCCCTGAAATAATAATTATAATATTCTAAAAAGATGTTAACTAAGCTTACCATTCTGAAAAAAGGCTAACTGCACTAACCGTTCTGAAAAAGATGCTAACTAAGCTAGTGGTTCTGATCCGTCTGCTAGTCTCTGGTTCTGGTCTCAACAGACTCCTCCTCTGAGTCTGGGTCTGACTGAGGCTCAAACAACAGTCTCTCTGATTTTCCTCCTCTCACCATCTTGATGCTCTCTGCTCTTTGACCTGTCCACCTGGAGCCAGCAGGTGGTGTGCGGGGCATGAGGCCTGATCCAGATTTCTCAACCAGGAAGTGAGAGGAGACAAGCTTCAGACTCAGTTTTTATGTATAAAAATCATGTTTAACATGAATCATAGCAGAGGATTTTTACAGTTTGTTTGGAGAAGGGGCTTTAAGTTTGTTCCCATCAGATCAATGTAAAACTAGATGTTTGGTAGTGATACTCCAGCACCATGTGTCACACACTGTGTGAGAGTGTGAGCACATGTTTGTCTTTGTGCGTCCACAGACTTCCTGGCCTCTGGTGTGGGGACCCAATAAAGATAGAAAAACAAGGTCACACACACACACACACACACACACACCTTTGTGATGTGAAACACAGAACAAAAGAGTCAGGACAGGAAGACGGAGAGTGATCAACAACCGTGAGAAAGACAGACGCCCCCCCACCCCACCCCCTCTACTCTGTCCATCCACAACCATGCAAACCAAACTGCAGCAACATGCAGGCAGGCACCACAGCCCCTCACACACAGGTCCATTCAGCCGTGTGCTCTGGTGTTTAACACGTGAAAAACACTGACGACAGGTTCAGACGTTAATGATCCCAGTGGTGGAGAGTAAGTTCTGTACTGCAGTTCTTAAATGTCTCACCTCAGCTGTTCAAATGATCCAATGTTTCACTACAAATCAAAGATAGGAGGAAACGTCGGTTGGTTTTATTAACAATCTAAGATCAGATCAATCAGAATCAGAATACTTTATTGATCCCCAGGGGGAAATTAGGTCACGTTACAGTTGCTCCCTCAAGAATGGAAGTGTAACAGCAAAGAATAGAGAATAAGAAATAAGATTATAGAGATAAAGATGAAACATAAACATAAAATGTAAAAATATGTCCTTACACTGCAAAATCTTGCCAAGTATATTTGTCTAATTTCTAGTTAAAATATCTGATTACACTTATATATAAAACACAATCACTTAACAAGTAACATTTCAGTGAGATATAGGGTTTTATTTTAAGAAAATGCATCTTAAATATCTTGTTTAGTAAAACATTTTGTTTTGACTTGTACCTCAGATGAAACAAGGTTTTTTTTTTACATGTCAAGGTTTTTAAGCTGCTGTGTTATTTGTAAAAGATGAATCATCTTGTTTCAAGATATAATCTTTACTTGACTTAAGGAAATACATTTTTATTGAAAAATCACGAATAATATCCGACACCTATATATATATATATATATATATGTATATATATATATACAGAAGATATGAGAAATAGGTGATAGTTAAAATATACAATATAAATATAAATGCAACTGTATATGGTGAAATTACACAGTTGAAAATTGCTCTTGTCTGAACCGACAGTAGAATAACTGCACAGAGAATAGAAGTATAGCAATATTGCACTTGTTTGCACCATTATGTAAGAATCGCAGTTAGTATAGTATAATAAGTATAAATAAACAAATGATGGAGTAAAGTCTGCTGACTGCAGTGAATTAAGTCCAAAGGCTGAATGACTTCCTGTGATATGTCACATCAGTTACTGCACAGACATTACTTTTAATGACACTTGATCTAAAGTTCATAATGTTTCCTTACTTTTTACTTCAGTGACATTTTAAATGCAGAACTTTTACTTTGAAATGCTTTATATTGTGTTATTGATACATTTTACACCAGAGGATTTAATAAGTTTAGTTATTCTCCTCTTCAGTTTGGTTAAACTTGTGGCTCCTGTGTAACATTTGGGTCGCCGGGGAGAGTTAGTGTGAGCGTCTAAAGTGATGACAATAAGAAGCTTTATTTATCTTTGTGGGTTGTTGCAGAGGAGACTAAAGATGTGCAGTTCTGTCTGTGCAGCGAGATGAGTATCAGATGACATCAGTGAGGCGGGACTGAGAAAAAATCATTACAGTTGCATTTGCAAAATCTCCTCTCTTGCACTTTTTAGACAACAACCTGTTTACTGTCTTTCTCAGGAAGAGGTTGAGCAAATGTTACAGTCTTTGCAGCCTCGACCTTTTTGTTTCTGCAGCAGGTTGAGGCTGCAGGTTCACTCGCTTCTGACACCAACGCCTGCAGGAAACGTGCTCTGATTGGCTGTCCGATGCCCTCCAGTAAGCACAGCGATGCTGACCTCTTAAAGACCTGATCTCTGGATCAGACTCACAGTATCAGTCCAAAATCTAAGGTTTTGAGAAGTTTGACACAATTACTAGTTGCACAAGATTTCATAAAGTTATTGTAAAGGAGTCTGACTAAATAACACACTGATGCACATTGTGTCATGTAGATTTTAGACATGTAGATTTTAGACAATGAGAATGTCTCCACGTGGTGGTTTAACAAGACTACAGCTAAAGAACGTACTTAAGCATAGAAGTGCTTTGTGCTAAATGCTAATGCTAACATGCTCAAAATGACACTGCTGATGTTTAGCAGATATTATGTTTATAATGTGTACTACCTCAGTTTGGTAAGTCAGCATGCTAAACACAAAGTGCAGCTGATGGAAATGATTAAGTCATTGGCACCAAAGTATTGGACAAATTAAAGTTCTGACCTGATGCTGAAAAGACAAAGGATCACCAAAGTTACTACAGTTCATCCTGAGGGGAACATGAACCATATTTCATCACAGTCCATCCAATAGTTGTTGAGGGCACATCACTCTCCATGACTTGTGTCCCAATTCAGGGGATGCATCCTTCGGAGGACTCAGACTATGAAGGCGTGGCCCTTTGTAGTCGTCGTAGACCATGAAGGCTGAACTGAAATGAGACTGTCTGGTCTACAGAGGATTTTACAGCTGTGCCCACCCTTACCATTGTGTCACAAAGCTGTAACCTAGAAACCTTAAAAACACGTAACTTTTTTCACAAAAACTTGAGGTTTTAAGGCGATCGGTCTTCAAATGCAGCCTCTGAAGGATGTGGCCCCTGAATTGGGACACAGCTAAGGTCAGCCCTGTCACTGAGGGCACCTGCAAACCAAACATGAAACCGTCTCACTATATGTCCGCCGGACACCATTCCCACCAACTTCCTCCAAGCCTTATCCCATCATCTCTCCACAGGAGTGCCCCTAGGCTCGATGTTGGGGCCTCTTCTGTTTGCAATAAACACATAAACATCTCCTTGGGTGCAATTATCCACTTGCATGGCTTCTCATATCACTACTATGCAGACAACACCCAACTATACTCGTCATTCCCACCAGATGACCCTGCGGTCCTGGTACGATTCTCGGCTTGTCTCTGACATATCCACGTGGATGAAGGAATGCCACCATCATGATTGACGACCAGCTCTCCTTCTCTGCCCATGTTGCATCTGGTTTCCTGGTCGTGATGTTTCCCTCACATCAACAACCTTGATGCCGTTCTGGGGGCCTCCCTTCACGTACAGTGAAACCCTTACAGATGGTCGTGAATACAGTGACGCATGCGGTTTGAAATCAGCCTAAAAGGTTACATGTCACTCTGCTGCTCATTGACCTTTCTGGCTTCCCATAGCCACTGAAATCAAGTCTTTAATGCTGCCTTCAGATTTACCTCTGGGTCTGCACCATCTACTTGAACTCAATCATTCAGGCTAATGCTCTTTGATGTCTGCCAAGGAACATCGTCTGACATCACCATCCCTGCACACAAGGTAATCTCAAACAAACAAACAAACAAACAAACCTCCTCCCTTAACACCTCTTAACACCCTAACTAGCACTTACTGTGCAAGTTAGGTATGACCTCCTTTCGCTTTGTTCTTTTATGATGATGAAATTGGTTATTGTGCTCATATTAATGAAAATAAACCAAAAATAATATGGAAACTGTTTGTGCAAAAAGCTGCATTATTAAGTTATGAAGTTATAATAAAACTGTCTGTCTCCAGTGAACCTCTGGAGCCAGGCCCGAGTCCTGGTGGTTGCAGGTAGCTTGCCACGTTAGCGCAGCGTCAGACTGTGTAAGTAATTTTTTTCCCCCTTTTGTTACATGAGTATCTTCTGTCTGCAGTGATGAAGTGACTGAGGTCATGGTGAGTGCTAACCTCAAACTCTGGCCTTCAGCTGTCTCTTCAAAAACAGAAACGTGATGTCAGAAAATATTTTTACACACTGTGGTCTGAACAGTCGAGTGCGCACTCCACTGCACCTACGCTGCACTCGGTTACTATAACAACGCCAAGCGGGAGGCCGATGGTTGAGACTTGGCCCATGTAGAAGAGGAGGAGAGGTGTTACCTACGTACTCGTGAGTCAACAATGAAGCGATGCAGAGACAGAAATGCTTTTTTTGTTTTGTTTTGTGTTTTTTACAATGTTGATAAGAGTAATTGGTTACCATGGTTACCTCATGGTTAATCTTTGGGAAGTTGAGAACTTCCTCCTCCTCTTGTTTTTTTCCTCTGCTCCTTGTCAGCAGGAGTGCAAAGGGGGGGTGCAGCTCACGCGGTTGCCATGGTGACTGAGCCTCAGCTTTTTTTGGGTGAATGTGTGTGTCTTTATTTAGTGTGTGTATGTGTGTGTGTGTGTCTGTGTGTGCCTGTGTGTGTGTGTGTTTGTGTGTGTATGTGTGTGTGTGTGTGTGTGTGTGTGTGTGTGGTGTGTGTGTGTGTGTGTGTGTGTGTGTGTGGTGTGTGTGTGTGTGTGTGTGTGTGTGTGTGGTGTGTGTGTGTGTGTGTGTGTGTGTGTGTGGTGTGTGTGTGTGTGTGTGTGTGTGTGT